CCCCAAAACCCCAAAACCCCAAAACCCCTTGTTTTTGGTGATTTATTGAAAATTTTAATATTTAAGTGGAAAATGCCGACTGCATAGGCATAAAAAATAAGAAGGATAACTATGGGGTTATCGACATAATTAGGAAATTAGCTTATTCAAACGTGTATAAGATCAAGCGTAAGTCTGCTGGACAGATCTATGCCTTAAGAAGGTCTTGTTGAGGATACTCTCTAAGAAGGAGAAAGAAAATGCTTTAATGAGATTCGAATTTCATATCTCTTCAACATTCGAACATCATCTCCTACAAGGAGCTCTTTCTCGAATGGTCACCAGCAACTCTCCTTATAAGTATGGGTTTTTATGATCGCGAAGATCTGTATCAGAAAATTGTTGAACAGAAGAAAAGGAAATAAATTATTTTCAGAAGCTGACATTTGGGAAACTTTTATATAGATAGTCAAAGAGCTCAATGCCCTCTATAATAAATAGAATTTAGCATAGAGAGTTAAAGTAAGCTAAAGGTTTGTAAATAAAAATTACACTGTTAAATTAGGTGATTTAAGCCTCTCCAAAGCCGCTAAGAAGGGTCTTGTCTATACTCAGACGGGAACACCTTACTACACATCGTCCAAGGTATAGCAAGACGAGCCCTATGATTACAGAAGTGATACTTGGTTTCTAGGGCGAGTTATTTGTGAAGTGATTACATTGAGACTGCCTTTTACTGTTACTTCGAAGCAGGAGCTAGCAAGTAAAGCCAAGAAGAGCAGCCATGCGAAAATTCCTAGCTTATTCTCAAGAGCCGTGGGGCTACGGTAGCTACATTACTTAAAGTTTCACCCCTCATGAGGCCAAGCTGAGAACGAATCTTGCATATATAAGCAGTAAAAGAGCATCTTACAGATGAAGAGATCAAAGATATCAGAATTGACTTGCTAAATACTATTAAAGTATAAAATATGAGCTTACTGTAACAGAAACTTCCTGCTAGTCAATTTGAAAATGAAAAGTTAGCGAAAATAATTATGAAGATGATTTTGAAAGTATTCCTTCCAATGGAGAAAAGAAAAGGGACCATTCAGATCCTATCGGATCCGAAGCCATCGCAAGGCCACCAAAACTTGATAAGACTGAAAGAGCCAGAAGAAAGCTTAAAGGTCATCCTCTTACTGTTACTTTGCATAGAGTTATCCCTCCGATGACTTAGTCAAACAAAGCTCAGGAATTTGATGACTCGAAGATCTGTAAATCAAAAGCTACTTCAAGATAGAATCAAAATAGGAAGAGTAGCAAGAGCAAGAGAATTATTGAAGAAAGCCTGAAAAGAATAGAGCAACCCAAAGGCTGTAGAAGCACAGCTACTTCAACTAATTCAAACGCCTTTGACTAACCTTTATAACAATAGATATCGCATGTACTCCAAAGATGGCAAGGGATCGAAGAAAGTGTCAGAGATCTATAGAATAAGGACAAAAGATATTGAAAATCAAGACAACAGAATGAATAATGAGCAACTAAATAAGTATCAAGATCAATTTTATGTCAATAATAAATATATCGGCAGAGGTTATGCATCTAAGAAATAATGAAGGAAAGCCATCTAACATAGCATGCAATTATTGATCCAACCCAGAGTCTTTCTGAGCTTAACCAAATTGCTGGATAGAAGCTTATTGACTCTCATAGAAAGGTATTTTTGGATCGAGAGTATTGTGATGTTCAACGAAGTATAACAAAATCCTTGCTAAAAGTATCAATTTATTTATATATAATAACATAGTGACCCTCAGCTTATTCTCCAATCTCATTTTCCAGAATGCTGACAAATTCGGTGAGCTATAAGTGTTTAGATCAGAGTTATAAGTTAGGCTACTGGAGCTTATTTTAGATTATCAGAGTCTATTTCAGTGATGAAATTGTGGATAACATCTAGAGAAATAAATTTCTCCTCTTAGTGAGAACTATAAGGGTATAAACAACAAGATATATCTCCAGAACAATCTTGATGAGGAGACTCAGCAGCCAAGACCTCAGTATAGCCTAATTGGAAAGACAGGTGCAAGAGGAAGCTCCTCTATCACTCCACATTCTAATAGCAACCATTGGCTAATCTCTTTGAGGTTCAAGGAGGATAATAAGAACTCTGAAGTTTCTTGTAAGCTAAGGGATCACTCTCTGCGAAGGTTTAAATAAGTATTCACCAGAAAGCTTGCGTAGGAGTCAGCGTGGGCTGAACGGATTCAGGAATAGTCTGTCAAGGAAGTATGTCCCAACAATAATACTACTAGGAAGCAGCCATTAGCCCCTATGCACCCACTCCCAAATTCTCTGAGCCGCGGAAGAGTTGAGCTTTGCTCTGCAAAGAAGAAGTTCTGAATGAATTATAGGTCATCAGTACAGGATAAAGTCAAGCTCTAAAAAGGTCCCTACTTGGTGAGGCTTGCAGGATCTTTTAAAATTTGTTGAAATTTAAAGATTATTCAATATTTGATAATAAAAAAGGGGTTTTGGGGTTTTGGGGTTTTGGGGTTTTGGGG